ATCTGGGTGGTTACTTGTGCCTCAGCCAACTCATCAAATGTATTGTGAAGTCCGAGCGCTAATAGCTTCGCAGTTGAAGTGCTTTGTGGTAGTCGCAGAGCTGCTTTATACGCCATCCTTATTATTTTGTCTGCTTTTTCTTTCTTCTCTCTATTCATGTTGTGGTAGGGTAGCGAGTATGTTAATCTGCTGATGACTAAGCTCTTTACCAAACGAAGCACGTCTTGTTCTTTCAGTCCAGCACGATTGTTCGTTATTCGAACTATCATACGAACAATTTGTTGAACTGTTCGTTTAAGCATATTCACTGTGTGGAGACATCGTTGATTGGACTGTAACCACATCCCTAAGATCCGAACAGTTGTTTTCTCTGGTATAATATTGCCGTCTAGCTTGACCTCAAGGCGGAGGCTCGGGTCTGTCCTTTGTTTTTTACTCTTGGAGAACCGAATGAGTTCCGATTTGTCTGCTGAGCACTGAAGCCCCCTTTCTTTTGTGTAATCTTCGATAGTTTTAGCTGCCAGTTGAAGCCGCTCTTCTTTTTCCGCCAAGCTACCCTTGGTTGTCCATACAGTGATGTCATCCGCATAGAAGGAGTGTCGGATGTCGGGAATACCTTCCAGTTTTTTGGCTAGACCAATCATGGCTATGTTGAAAAGCGTAGGCGAGATCACAGCGCCTTGTGGTGTGCCTTTGCTCGGTGGGTGGAAGACATTGGATTCGTGTTCTCCTAATCTGATAACAGCGGTTCTTTTAGTAAGGAAGTTCTGTACATATTTGTACGTCCTTTGACCGCAGTTTGTCGCTGCTAGCCCATCTAATATGGCCTTATGGCTTACGTTGTCAAAAGCGCCTTTTATGTCAATGGCCATGACAATGTTTTCTCCTGCTTTTGGAACATTTGTTAGTACTTCCTCCTTTAAAAGCAGAAGGATGTCCTGTGTCGAAAGGTTCGAGCGGAAACCAAACATGGTGTTTGGCAACAAGTTATTTTGTTCAAGGTGCCGTTGAAGTCTGGCATTTATTAATCTCTCAAACACTTTGCCTAAGCACGAGGTAAGAGAGATTGGCCTGAGGTTTTCTATTGCCAATTTCTTTCCTGGTTTGGGTATCATAATGATTACAGCATGCTTCCATTGTTGTGGTATAGTGCCATTCACCCAGTGTTTGTTAATGAAGTTTAGAAGCGCTGTTATGGCTTCGTCATTCATGTTGCGAATCATGGCGTTGGTGATTTGGTCCGCCCCAGGCGCTGTGTTGCGTTTCATGCTGACGATTGCCGCTCTGACCTCGGCATGCGTGAAAGGTGCATCCAGTTCTGAGTTTGGGAGCCCAGTGTATTTAGCCTGGTAAGGGGCTGTGATGGCTCGGGCGCCGAAACACTTAATATAGATGTCTTGAAGCAGGTCATCTCTTGTGCCTGGATATGTGTGCAATAATCTTTCTAGAGATTTTTGTCCTTCGCGTTTAGTTTTCAGAGGGTCAATCATGGCTCTTAGGATATTCCATGTCTTTGCTGTTCCTAGGGTTCCATTTAGTGAATCGCAAAATTGTTCCCAGTTGGCTGTCGCGAGTTGATTAGCGTACTGTTCGGCTTGCTGCGTTATTTCTTCAATTTTCGCTTTGAGTTTCTTATTTCGCTTTTGCCTTTTCCATCTTTTAGTGAGGTTTCTTCTTGCTTCCCACAGGTGGAGAAGGTGAGCGTCTACTTCAGGGGTATCATCTGTTCTGGCGACAGTTTTGGTGTACATTTGCTTTTCATTTCGAATTACTTTGCACCACTCGTCCAAGTCGTCTATGGCGGTCACGTGCGCTTTTAGCGCTTTTCTATATGCGTGCCAGTCTGTAATTTTGGCTGTGCCGATGTGTTTGCGGATTCGGCCGGTGCGGATTGTGGTGCTTAGTATGTAATGATCACTGCCCAGGTTTTCAAGGGTGTTGTACCAGTCCACGCTGTAGCAGTTTTGTACTATCGTCAAGTCCGGACTTGTGTCCATGGATATGCTGTTGCCTATCCTCGTTGGTATTGCAGGGTCAGTTAACAGAGTCATTTCCAGTTTCTCTATTTGTCTTGCGATATTCTTGCCTTTGGTGTCTTGCATCTTATATCCCCAGCTTGCATGCCTGGCATTAAAATCCCCAACTATGATTAATGGATTCCCTTTCGCCAGTTTTGCTGTCTCTTGAAAGAGCTTGTCGAACGTTGCTCTCTTTTGTCTTGGGGGACTATAGATATTAAGTATGAAGGCGCTCTTTCCATGGCTTCCTTTGTAGATTATTTCTGTTATGATATGCGGGATATCCGCCTCTTCAATGGGCTGATGACATATTGCTGTAATTGAGTTATCGACTAATGTAGCAACTTTCCATTCTGCGTCCCTGGTACTATAAGTTTCGTAGCCCCGTAATTTTGGTTGTGTTCCGGCTTCCTGGACTGCTATGACAGCAGGTGGCTTTTGTTGCGACGCCACCAGCTGCAACAGTTGCCCTCTTTTCCGCCGGAAACCACGGCAGTTCCACTGCCATATTTCGCACTTTTCTGACCGCTGCGTTTGATGATTAGCCATTATGCGTCTCCTGGTTCATGGCCGACAATCCGGGCCTGTTGTAAATTTTCTCAGCTTTTTCTCTGATGTTGATGCCTGTGGCATGCTTTCGCAAGGCTTTCGTGAATTCGACGTGTTGTGCCTGGATTTTCTTGTCCAGAATCTCGAGCTTTCTATCTACATTTATCATTACTTGCTCTATAACTGTCGGTATAACTTCCTTTAATGTTTCTTTCAGCATCGACGACGTAATCATTGAGTCACCTCCTGCATTCGGTTGCGTCTGCGATTTCTGGCCACTCTGGGTGGGTATAGAGTTTTGTTGCGGGTGCTGCGTTTGTTGCTTTTTTAGTTCCCTATTTTCGCGTTCTAGGTCACCTATTCTCACCCGCATTATCTCTAACTCACGTTCTAAGCGCGTGAGTTGTGGTGTTTGGTGTGAGTGTTGGGAGGATTTTGCTGCCCAGCTCACCTGGTTCTTCTCTTCCTTTTTCTGCGCCTTCTTGCCCTTGTGCTGTTGCTTTGCTTGGGCCTGCTTGTGGCCACCATTCCTGGAGTTGGAGCAGTCTCGAGAGCCGGACCTGGATCGGGATGTAGATCGAGATCTGGATCGGGAACTGGAACGGGCCCTGCTTGGCGGTGCAGAGTCCTCGCGGTCCGTGCTGAACCAGCGTCTCTTGAGTATGCCAGTGGTTTTTGGTGTGCTGTGTTGGTGCGACAGCAGCGACCGGCCCTTTTGAGGGACGCGTTTGAGTTTCTTGGTGCACTCCGATGCCGCCGTGGTATGGCGTCCGCCGCACAGGGCACATTCCGGATCGCAAGTGTGGTCCTCAGGTGGGTCTCTTAGGCGACAGTTACTGCACGCCTTTGTCATTGGTGTGGGACAAACATCCGTCCTATGTCCCTGGCTCTTGCAGAGTTTACAGTACTGCCGTGTGGGTTGATAAGGCACGCACGGCATTTCGCCACCGTAATAATACACGAAGCGCGGCAGTATTGGTCCATCAAACGTGATCACTGCAGTTTGTGACTGTCCGAGCATGCGGGCTTGAACAATTGTCACTCCTTGAGTGCGCACTCGGAGATGGCTCAGGAGTTCAGCTTCTGGCGTTTCGCGTTCTAATCCGTGTACCACTCCTTTCAGGTATCCAGCAGGAGTGGATATGTAGGTGTTCACGGGATAGTTGGTGCCATTGAGCTCCAGTGTCTTTATCTTCAAGATCCTTTCTGCTACATCTTCGTACGGAGTGCTTGCAATAATTATGTTTGATCCGTTGCGAAGGCGAAGCAGAAATTTGTGGCTGTTACAGGCCTCCGGGTCACCGCTCGCAAGTTCTATCGCTCGCGCAACCTGGTATGCTTTCAGTTCCTTCACAACTAACCCTGGTCTGGGCCGCATAATAATCTTCATATCGTTTTTGGGCAGCGGCGCTGCGCGCGTTCGTCGCCGGCCCCTTTCAGATGCTCTTCCGCGTTGCTCTTCTGCAAGCGTTCTAGCGCCGGAGCTGTTGCTCTCAGTTTCGCCTCGAGCAACGCTGTCATCTTTCGCGGCGCGTTCTTGTTTTCTGATGCGTTTTCGCTGTCGCAATGACATAGCTACCTGCCACTGACCATTCTTGGCTTCGTCGTCGCGTTCCTCCGCAGAGTCTTTTTCCTTGTTCTCGGCGTCGCTAGTAGATTCTCCTTGTAGCACCTCGTCAGGTGAAAGGAAATCTTCGTTGGCGTCCACCGCAGAGCTCACTTGGGTTTCGATGTCTTGGTCATCCATGTCCATAAGTGCCTGGGCTAGTTCCGGGTCGTTGTCCGTTGGGGTTCGGGCAGATGCAGCGCAACGCGTCGGCCGAGAGCTGGCTGCCAGGACTCCGCGTTCCGCTTCGCCGCGAGGCTTAGCGTGGCGGGTTGGCATGCTCTGCCGAAGGTCTTCACTTCCCAGAGGAAACCGGGATCGCTTGTCCAAAAAGGTGGTGTCAGCGTGTACCTGACGTCTTCCTGCACAATTGCCGTAGTTTCACTGGTAGTCACATGATTTTAACCGCTGCTAGGTACGATGATTGACGGAGCCGATGTGAATGCGTGTGCACTCCTCGGCGCCACCTGGCGGTCCCCCACGCCAGCAAGACATTCCTATTTTTTGTTATGTTCCGGAGTACAGATTTCAGTGCTTGTCAGGTATGCGCCATAATATGACTTCGGGACTTCGGATAGGTTTCTGGGCACTAAGCCAGCAGCTCTGCTTTACGATGTTTCTTGTGCACTGTGCATACACCGTCCGGTTTCGGCTTTCAAGTGCGAAGCGAACTGGTTGAGCCATAAAGCCCATGTTGCCAGCATCAGAATCGTGGTTTTGGCCCTTACTACCGTAATTCAAAAGTGGTTAGAACAATTTCTTAGTTTTTTTGTTTTTCTAAAGGCATAAAAACGACATTACTCGAACTTGTTTTTGTTTTCCAGGACATGAAGTTTAAGAGTATATTTTTCAAGATCATACTCTACGAGCTCGCATTATAAGCCAGAAGTCCAGGAAAGAAAGCAGAGACAAGAGGAATGAGACAATGTGCAATAGGTATGGACAAAAGAAACTCTTTTAACGAAGCAATGTTGTTTTTCTTTCTATCTTTCTTCCAACCGCGGAAACTTTGATGGCGCTAGATTTCCAAGTCCCTTCGTTTTACTCATCTCCGTGGATGAATGGTTCTGTGAGGCTGGGTACTTCGATGGAAGAGTCAAACCAAAATCGGAAGCTGTATTCACACTACGGACTCTTGGGAGCCTGTCGGCAGAGTACGTCTGCGCACTCGAACTCAATATGGAAGCTGTGGGGAATGCGGGGAGGCGCTTCGCCTACCTCTCGTCGACGCCGGTGTTCGCGGGCAAAGTTGCACTGGCATCACCGATGTGCAGCGTGCTTGACATATGTGGCAAGAAAGGAAATCTTCAATTGGCAGACTCAGTTGCCATCTACCCTACTCTCTTTCTTTTTTTCCCCTTCCTTCTTCGCCAACTTCCCTTCTTCTTTCTACCGCATTGCTATGCTATTCTATACACAGTTATACTGTGAGTCCTTATCGTCTCTGCCTTTCTTTCCTTCTCACCCTCTCTTTCTTTTTGTTGTCTCGCTAGACAGTACCACACGCGGCTACGCTTTGCTTTGCACACCAAATTCGGTGTTTTCGCCTCCTCATGCTCGCAACACCTCTCTTCCCCTTCACTTGCTGTACTCTATTACACGCGGCCATGCGATAATGTACAATCCTTCTCTTCCTCACTGAACTGATTCTCACTCTCACTTTACTTTCCTACCCATTGCTATGCCATCCTACAAAAGGCTATTTCATGCGTCACCTCCACCCCCTGCTCTCCCTCCTCCTCATATACCACTCATCTCGTCTTATTTTAAATGCGAAGCAATTCTTAGCAAGCGTTGGTGACTTTTAGCGCATCTATCTATCTATCTATCTATCTATCTATCTATCTATCTATCTATCTATCTATCTATCTATCTATCTATCTATCTATCTATCTATCTATCTATCTATCTATCTATCTATCTATCTATCTATCTATCTATCTATCTATCTGTCTGTCTGCCTGTCTGTCTATCTATCTATCTATCTTTCTATCTATCTATCTATCTATCTATCTATCTATTTATCTATCTATCTATCTATCTATCTATCTATCTATCTATCTATCTATCTATCTGTCTATCTATCTATCTATCTATCTATCTGTCTATCTATCTGTCTATCTATCTATCTATCTATCTATCTATCTATCTATCTGTCTGTCTGTCTGTCTGTCTGTCTATCTATCTATCTATCTATCTATCTATCTATCTATCTATCTATCTATCTATCTATCTATCTATCTATCTATCTATCTATCTATCTGCTTACATTTGGGTGCTTTCGTGGTCACCCCCTTAACTTGGTGTGAACTAAAAATAGCAAGGGAGGGTAAGATGCTTTGACAGATATGACGCGCTGGTCAAGACATCAATATTGCCACAATGCCGTCGCGTACGTCGTCAAACACTTCTTGCCGGAGTGGCACATACCCAAGGGTGGGTATGTACCGCTGGTATGCGGGTATGCGCCTCGGGGGATTCACTCTTGTATCTACCCAGGAACAACGAGAACACACATGGACATATTTAACACTAGAGTGGTAAGAAATACGCGTCATTAGTAGCGTTGACCGGACAAATGCAAATAATAAATGTCACAGCTTTAGCTGGAATCTAACACAAACATTCGGCGTGGCAATGAAGCATTTTACCACAGAGCAACGCCAGGTCTCGGAACTACTTTTCAAATTGCCGCTTATCTTCGTGAAACGTCAATAGTGGTTGCAGTGCCGCCTATGCAATATTATCAACATTAGACTTGTACTCCTTTGAGGCAGTCGTCACGCCGGGTTAACGTTAATGGTGGTTATTTGCCATGCGCTGAAGTCGATTCATGTAGCAGTGTCCAGGGCCAGCACCCTCCCGAGCATCAGCGCTTCATATCAGCATCTGGTGTTGCTAATACGCTTGTTTCAGTTGGCATCGTTGCACAATTGCAAACAAGTGGTTATATAAACATCTGAAGCTCTTCAACATATGTGTGTGCGTGACGCATTTCTACATATATTTAGCGTAATTTCATGACGTGTCACTCAACAAAAAATTGCAACACGGTCACCTTCTCTCCACATGCTTCGCATAACGTCGATTCCCATTTACGTGGGATCTGCCAAATTTTCCCACCCTTTACTATGATATTAAACTACACTTGACTTTGCTACGCTTTAGCTCTTGCCATCTTTTTTTTCTTTCTATTCATCCCCACACCACTTTTTCTCACTCTCACTTTTTTTTCTCTCAAAAGGATATTATAATATACATGGCTTTGTTACGCGTGGTTTTCTAACGTGACACCATACATGGTTACGCTATGCTCTAATCTTTCTCCTCGTTATATTCCTGCTCCTCATCCACTTCTTTCTCCTCTTCGAAAACAGTTCTCTCACCACTTCTTTTCTGCACTCTACTATGCAGGGCGCCCAAGCTATTTCTGGCCAGAGTTAACAAAATATACTGACGCACTCAATCCTTCTGTTACCAAATTCATGGTGACACGTGCGTGGTGTAAGTCACATTGTTTTTTAACAGGAGCGTTCGTTATGCTTGGCCTACGACGGCTCTGCTAAATTATTTCCATCACGGATATGATGTTGCAAATTATATAATTAGAGATCACTAAAAAAGATTGGAAGACATTTGCAGAGTAACATGCCCAGTATGTGCATGTTACACTGCAAATGTCGTCGAAACATGATAGTCTTGCGTCTGAAGAGAGGAAGCAAAACGTTTATATGGTGTTCTGCGCAAGAAAATCGGTGAAAGGTATTGTGAAGGCGCTGCGTTAGAGTGCCTAGAGCGTGCAGCGGAGGCGAACAAGCGCATCATTTCACGTGACACGTGAGTCTGGAGTGCTATCTGATTATTTTGGAAAACGAAGTGCGCGGCGTGTGCGCCTGGCTCGGAGGCGATAAGGTGTAGAATACAAGGAATCAGGTAGGTGCCAAAGCGATGTCGTGTTAGCGAGGCGTTGAAAAAGCTTGTCTTTTCGTGCAAGCGTTGCATCGTCTCCACAGCGTGATAAGCGCTTCAATCCTTAGAATTACTTCTGTATGGTTTTTCTATTAAAAAGACAGATACAAAATATCGACGTGTTGTTATGGTGCCTCAGATATGCACACTAATTGATTTTTCAATTGACAATCGCACAAGTATGAATGGTAAACCTTGTGCAATATTAGTGGGCGCTGTGGATGGAGTCGGCCGTTTGGAGTATCGTTTGGTACCGGTTAGTGTGTCGTTTACGGTGGACAAAGAGACAAATGTACCGGCAGACAGACGGACCAAACTTTTTGCGTCGAAGGTCTCCCAAAAAGACTATCGCTTTCAAAACGACATGCAATGACTCAGCCATGAGGCGTCGAACGAGCGACCTTTCGGACCGCAGTGCGCGGCGTTAACCACCACGCCAAGATACGTACGCATTAGGGTGAATATACGCCGTATACCATTTGGAGGTCCTCAGTTCTCCCCAGATTCAGCGCGTGTTCATCACCACTAGCGAGATGACGCAACGAGCATGGGATGGATATAGTGCCTCGATGTGCTAGTTGACCTTCACTGCCATCGAGGCAGTCTATGGTTGGAACCTCTTTGAAGCCATCGCCTCTCACATTTCGAACCATGCAGCTTCCACGGAGCGTGGTCTCTTCGTTGCACGCGCTTATCGGACTCAGGATTCAGGAGAGTACGAAGAGGTTACTTTGCTTACTGCTGCGGCCACCCTTACGAAATGAGTGCGCTGATCACTCACGAAGTGAGAATTTTGACAGTTGTTCACGTTTGTCTGGTGTATACCTGTGCGTTAGTTTCCTGTGCCTTTCTGTCTATTTACACAGCGTACTTTGAATGTCGAGCTGTGGGAGTTGTCAGTCCACGCTTGTCATGTGTAGGTTCACTTCATGCGTGTTTTCTACTTTAGGTGCACGCCGGAAGTTTCGAGCCACTGCTACTTGCCGTCCCTGGCGTGGCTAAGCAACTTCATACTGCAGCATTCATTTCTTCGGCCATATGGCGAAACAACGCACAATAAACGCTCAAATACCTGCGTGACGACACGTTTCACTTTCATATTGGCTAATTCCTAGAAAAGAGGATCAGCCGCACTGATTTTTTGTATTTGCTAAATGGATATTTTTATTTAACTAACTTATGAAGTAACGAAGCTGGGCCAGGAATTGCAATGACAAAGCTGCAAATACGTTCGGAAAATGTTTGATAAGAGGGATAATGAGTGATCTTTCTTATTATTCTAAAGTGTATTTGTTTTGACTATCCATTCACGTGAAATACGAAAAATATGACCTGATAAGCCGGCTAGCGCCCTTTGCATGCCGGTATTACAATGCCCCTTAACGTTTTTTCATAATTAAATGTATATAAGGAGAGGTTGTTGCCAACGTGTGGCGCTTGCTACTCCTCTTCTCTTGCACAAAAGTCGACATTGGACATTTTGTAGCAACCACAAGGCTATACATATGCACATAGCACAACACTTACACAATGAGTGCACGTTTTTCAACACTGAGTGTCCACACCACACAGAAAAGTGTCCACACTACATAGTAATGTGTCCGCGCCACACGAACTTTCCCGTGCAAAAGGCCGTTACACTTGGCCAAGTCTCCTGTCTCGAGGGAACAGCGACGATGGTAGTGACACACGTTTCGCCAACGGCCACACAAGCTCGTGCTCTTCCGACCATTTTTTCGTTCTGACTTATTTTTCATTGTGGGTTATATGTATATATTACCGTGTGTTCAATAAAAGTACCCACAACTGTTTAATATCCCAGCAATGCAAGGCTGTTTGATGACTTTATTGTTACTTGTCCCTTAGCCGCAGAAGTCTTAAGATGGCGAAAGACCACAATTGGTACAGTAGTAAAGAAAGTTAAATAAATTACGTTTTTAATACTGCAGCTCGGCGATTGTTTTATA